ACAGACGCGCACACGGCGGCCGGTTTGCCAAACAATCAAAGACAACACACCCACATGTCACAGTTGATCAGTCGGACATGCTCACAGTGCGGGCACAGAACCAGGGCACAGGGTGACTCAAGCATGGCACTGCTGCTGTTGTTTAGAGCGAATCAGAGACGCTCGGATACACACACGAACAAACAGACACGCACGCACACGCACAGGCACACACATACGCACACAACACACTACGTTAGGGAGGAAGAGTTTGAAAAATAATCTAAGTATTGCAATTACGCTGCCTTCGTGTGGTGTGGGAAAGACGAGCCTTTCCAAGTGGAAGTGGAAATTACGAGTGTGATGTGTTCAAGTGCTTTTGTTGTGAAGTGAAAAGTGAATAGTGGGAAACTCTGACCTGTTACTTGGGTAAAACTGCTTTAATATTTTGCTTTTTAAATATTTTGATTACTATTTTTTATTTTAATAATAAGTGTAAATGGCAAAGTTATTAAAATGATGTACACCACAGCATTATGTAGGTTACAAACTCACCAACTAACAGCAGCAGAGAATGTTTAACATTCTTAAACTTAACTCTAACCTTAAAGCTTAAGGTTAGAGTTAGAGAGTTAGATAATTAGAGAGTTCGATAGAGAGTTAGACAGTTAGAGTTAAATAATTAGAGAGTTAGTTAGAGAGATACAGAGAGTTAGAGAGATAATTAGTTAGAGTTAGGGAGTTAGAGAGTTGGAGAGTTAGTTATAATTAGAGAGTTAGATAGAGATTTAGATAGAGAGTTAGATAGTTAGAGTCAGTTTGTTCATTAAGAGTTAGATAATTAGAGAGTTAGAGAGAGAGTTAGTTCGAGAGTTAGTTCGAGAGTTAGAGAGTTAGAGAGCCAGAGTTAGAGAGTTAGTTTGAAAGTTAGAGGGTTACTTAGAGAGTTAGATAATTAGAGTTAGAGAGTTAAAGTTAGACAGAGAGTTAGTTCAAACGTTAAAGAGCTAAAGAGTGTTAGAGAGTTAGATGGAGAGAGAGACAGTTAGAGAGTTAGTTCAAACGTTAGAGTTAGAGAGTTAGAGTTAGTTACAGAGAGTTAGATAATTAGTTAAAATGTTAGAGTTAGAGAGTTAGTGAGTTAGACAGTTAGTTGTTTAGTTATTTAGTGCTCACCATTTACAATACTTTCTCTGCTCTCCGCCATGTCAAAGGTCAAAGTTTATCTCATCTCGGCAGCTCGTGTATCGTAAAAATCTTCCTGTTTTCCAGTCGTGACTACAACGTGAGCGGGTGTTCGTGTGCAATTCTGATGTCGGTTTGTGGTATTTACGATAATTACCACAGGACGTGAAGGCACCAACAGATTTGAGATTATTAAACAACACGATATATCGATATTTCAGTATTTTTGCACACCCCTACCCACCACTACTTTTTTTTTGCTGAAAATCAAAAACACAAACAGGACTGTGAACGCTCGTATCGATCACAGGCTCCTCCACTTTCAGTTTTTTCCTTGCGACAGCGTTGGTGGCTGATGTGCGCGTTGTGTCACCATGGTAACTCCTGAACGTTCCCCCATTAGAGACACATGTAGAACACCCCAGCGTGATATCACAGCAAAATATCAATTACAACATAAACTGCAAAAACTCATCGCAATCCTTGTCAGAATAAACAGACATTTTCCCCCAATGATTCAGCGCTACACAACACAACACACACAGACACACACACACCCACACACTGACACACAAACAGCAGATGCAAAACGCGGCCTGGACTCCTGCTGGGCTTAAATGGAGGGGAAGTATTGGTGCACGAAAAGGGGAGCCTGGTTTGTCATGGGAGGTTAGTGCGAGCTGGTGATGTGTGCGCTATGCTTCATTACATTCATTTAACTCACAAACGGGGTGAATGACAGACTGGCGTGGGAGACAGAGGGGGAGAGGGGAGGGCAAAGCTTTGACCCACCCTCCTCCCGGTCCCTTTTACAAACACTGGAATCCTGCAATTAAAACGCACACACAACTGCCAAACCAAGAGCTGCCCCCAACCTAGACCTCCCTGTCCCGCCAACTAACAAGCCACAAGACTCCACAGTCTGCACCGGGGCAGGACTCATTTAGATCAGATACACGGGGGAAAATCACGTACATTAAACAAATTGGCAACACTTAATAAGGCAGAATAATAAGGCATACCTACATTTGGAAATATTTATTAACAGTTAACTAATAATTTACTAAAAATGTCCCAAGTGTTTCAGAAGCAATTTACAAACATCAACAGTGTCTTTACTAACTAATAAACTGTCATAAATTTTTAATTAAGAACATCTATAAACAGTTTACAAATGTTTATGAATCATTAACCTCTAATGATTAATTGACATACTTGTATTCTTTAGTAAATGATTAGTTAATGGTTAATAAACATTTACGAATGATTTGCAGGTATGCTTTATTATAAAGTGTTACCAACAACTTGAATTCAGAACATTACTTAAGGACTATAATTTGGTAATTTGCTCTTGATAAAAAGTGTTTATAAACTGATCACTGTGAATAGTTAGAATGTTCAGAATACATAAGCATAACTTTGCATAACTTTGGACCAATGCAAACTGTTTAATATGAACTATGACTTCAAAAAAGCATTTTAGATCTTTCTTAATAAAAACCAACAGTCGTGACAAGTCGAGAGGTGGAAGTGATGAAAAAGATGAACATATTAGGAGAAAGGTCAGAGTTGGCAAAGCATGAAGCATGAGACAAAGTATGTCTAATCTAAACAGCACTGGACGAACCAAAGGAAAGAGTGTCCTTATTTACAAGCTTACGTTGTCGGCCATCTTAAAAAAACATGAATATTATGGCATTCTAAATGTTTCCAAAGCCACTGCTTCTGTAAAGGCCATTGAATACTCCATTTTATCTAATTTGACCAAAATGTTATTAATGGTGCACTATAACTGTTCAGGTGAGGTGCTACAGTGGAGATATTTTTTGTTCCAAAGTATGGCATTAAACTTTTACAACATTAAGTTGATTGAATTTATGTTTGCTTCTCAAAAACACCTTGATAAATGTGCTTTCTTAAGATTGTCCCAAGGCAATGGGGAGTGGTTGGCTGCTGTTGAGGCTCTGGCTCTGAGCAGTTTGTTTTTTTTAGCTCAGTTTTTAAAATCGTCTCATGGCATTTTAACCAACTAAAAAGTGCAGCCTGTGCAGACGATCACGGAGATGGTGGACCTTTGAGATGCTACAGACTTTACACACACATGTGGCAACAAATACGTCAGAAGACCTTCCAGAGGAAATACTGTACTTAGAGCGAATCACCTATTTCATCAACAACCAAAACACCAGAACAGAGTAAGTGCGAGGAATTCAGCTGGGGCCCCCTGGACTCTGCTGTGATGCTGCAGGACACAGAGGAGAGACACTTTTGGCTCTTTCCCTCCTCAAACTGCCCTGACACAGATCTGCAGACCCTCCCTGACCAGTCCTCCTGTTAAATTGCATCTGAGACCTTTGACTAAGACACAAAGGCGACTGAGACGTGCAGTGTGATGGTTGCTGCAGCAAAACTTGAATTTCCCTCGAGATAATCAAGTATCTCTCTCTCTCTCGTCTTACAGCATGTGTACACTTTTCTACAGTCCCCATTCAGATAGATAAATTTAATGCCGTACTGTTGAAAATTTCAGGCAAAGCAATAAAATATCTACAGAGAAAAGAAGGTGGCCGACACTTGAAAAGTTACACAGTGGTAGACATGTTAGTATTATTACATATTGCTTTGTCACAATCTTGGCACAAGCTTAAATAGACCAATTATAGGCTCTGATCACCCGTTTAATTACTGCTCATTTAAAAACTCCCTTTATTGTTACTCGTTTCATATGCTAACTAATGAAAGTCTGGACACGAACATTCTTGGCAAACGATTTACAAAGATTACCAAAAGGAAAAACAACATCTTAAGAACCAAGGCGTCAGCTGATACGTGAACAAGTTTGCCTACATTTCTGTTCAATTATGGTTTAATAAGTAGTTGTAGCGTAAAGGGTTCAACAGGCCTCAATTAGCTTTGGTAAGAATACTCATTACATATTTATTCACAGTTATATATATTCACAGGGTGTTATATTATGCAACTGTTTTGAATCTAGCTTCATCCATACGCCCAACGTATGTGCATAGGTTTAATAAAGAAGTCTTAAAGAGCCACACTACAGGAGAATTTGCGAGATTTTGGCTGCGATTTGCTTCTCCCCGAGTTCAGGGAGGCGTGACCCGACTTTGTGTCTTCATCTGTGATTTTGAAGCCGCTGCGAGCTTCATGTTTGTGGTGTCAGTGTGACTCTAAGCTGCTCTGCCAGATCGTAACCACCAAACATCAGCAACTCTACGGGATACCACGAAAATAATGAGAATTTATTACTCACCTCTTGTAAAGTGGTAAATTTAAAGTGCAGCATCTCATCCACATTATCCATAGAAATTATCCTCTGCAAATAATGACATCCAGTCCAAAAAACCCGAGCTATTAATCCAGTTTGAGATGTTCTTTGAAAGTAAAAAGGTCTGTTTACGTCCACACAGCACACGGCTCAGGGTGAAGCTGCAGATTAGCGATCGTAACTCTAATTCCTGTGGACTTTATCACCAATCTTTTATGCATTAAAAATCACATATCTTAAATTTTGCACCTCATTTCACAAATAATAACACAGTTTTGATTTGTATCTAAACTAGAAGTGCAGTACTCTGATCTTTTGAACACTTAAAAGTCTCAAATAGATTGGTTTTACTGTAGATTGCACGCACAACTTTATATCCTGTGATCCACAGATGGATCCCGCTGCAGTCTTTGCGATCGGAGATTTTAAGTCTCATAAGATTGTCTTCGTGTCTGTGGTGTGCGCTTTTTGTCGCACGTTTAAAAATCGTTTAAGACCAAACAAATCCTGTAGTGTGTGGCGGACTTATTACAGTAAGATAAATACTCACTGTTGGGGGGAGGCCAGGCAGTCCTCGTACGCCGATCACAGCGTTCAACTCGGCCATGGTCACCTGTTTGGCCCTCTCCACAGCCTGGACCACCTGCTGCTGGTGCTGGAGGAGACACACACAAGGTTAAGTTCACAGAATACTTGAAATTACAGGTCACTGCAATTTTTGACCACAATAACACTGAAACACTGTATAAACACACACAATGTTACATTTAACAGAGAGTGTTTTTAGTTTAGTTTAGTATTTTTTGGACTATAAATTGAACTTTTTTTTTCATGGTTTGGCTGTTTCCTGCGACTTATGCTCCGGTGTGACTTATATATTAAAATTTTCACACTGAAGCCGCGAGAGGCTCTAGGCTTGTGTGTCAGTATCTGCTGCTCCTATTACTCCTGTACCACTGTCACTTCACTCTACTGCGCATGTCTCCTGCAGAAAAAGCCTCTGTCCTGCTGTAAGTAGTGAAATCTGCAGCTGAAAACGGTAATCAAGCAGCAGAAAGAAAGTTTGGAGGGAGAAAGAAACTTGTGACACTGGGAGGGTGCGCCATGCAACTTTCCTGGAAGTCACTGCATGGATCGACAAAGCCTGGACTTCACTGACAACCAAAACCATCCTGTCGGGATTCAGAAAGGCTGGAATAATTCTAACTGGAACTGATGCTGAGTCTGACCACAGTTCTTCTTCATTACGCATTTTTGGGCTGGTGTGACTTACTGTGGAGCGACTTATAGTCCGAAAAATACAGTAGTTATAATCGTTTGATTGCACTTTGGACATGACATGAGGGAGGGGCTACAGTGTTTTCACATTCAAATTGGACTTGACGCCTGAACTCAGTGGATAGACGACGAGCGGAGTTTGGAGGTATAAAGAATGACGAGTACGAACATTTCAAACTCCACCCCCGGCAGTTTTCAGACAGATTAAATAAAAAATGATGACTAAATATTATAGTTCAACCACAAACGATGATCAGTCAAACCGACAGCAGCAGCGCGCTTAATGCTAAATGTGTGGCACTTACCTCCTGTGATAGGAAGGGAATGACTTGTGCACAGATGGTGTTGAGTCTCTTGGCGATCTCAGTCTGATGGAGAAAATAACAGAGAGAGAGAGAGAGAGAGAGAAAGAGAGAGGTAGAGGGAGAGGGCGAGGGAAAGGGCAAGAGGGAGAAAGCGAGGGCAAGAGAGAGGGAGTGAGGGATGGGGGAGGGAGAAAGAGAGGAAGAGAGTTAATGGTTAATCACATAATTATATTCATTATGAAAAGACAGCTGTTGCAAAACATCAAGAGCCTTGTGTTTTCATGGAAATACACAAGTTAGAGTATTGCTTTTTTAGAGTGCATCCGGATTATAGATAATAAACGAGTAGAGACTTGGACTTTGTTTAATTCTGTTCTCGACCTTGTTTAGTCCCTGACTGGTTCAGGTTTAGTTCTGGGTTTAGTTACAGAGTCAGAATAGTCAAAAGTCCCAATTTTATGTCCCGATGTTTGTGCAAAGCCATAGAATCATGTAGTTATTGTGAAAACTGCACTTCTGTATGACTCTACATTTCCATCTGGGGACAAGTAGATGGAAATCCTCCTCCAGGCCAAATAAAGAGTGAGGTTTGTGGAGACGCAAGCCGCTCATAAGGACGCAGTACGTTTTTCAGTGCAATAAAAACATCGTAAATGAAAATCTTTCTTCACCTTTAGTCTATTTATGGGGAGCGAAGTAGACCTAATTTTAGCACATTTGTTCTAATCTGGATTTTTTTCTTAATTTTTGCAATTAAAACTCCCAATTTTACCCCCTAATGAGGTGTTATATATCCTTTTTTTTCAGTACAACCTGTTATTTCACACTCTGCATGCTGTAGTTGTGTCATATGGCTGTAATAAAAGCTATAGGACCAGAAGTAAAAAAAAAAAAAAAAAATCACACCCTTTCATACAAAACACACAGCAAACCTTTATAAATGGCTTTTTGGACATAAAAAACACTTAATTTAGCGCCTTAGCAACAAAACATAATATATCAAAAAAATATATAAAAAAAATATCAAGTTTGTAAGTAAACTAAAAATATCCTTATTGACCTCAAAGCTAAAAAAATAAGTGCAATCGGCCCTTTACTTCGCTGGCCAGTACAGGGCACAGAGCCACATCACTTCCTGCATTTCCATGGTGTTTATTACATTTAGATTTGTACATTTTGAGTGAAATAAACCTTTCAACTAAAATTTGCAAGAAATGCATAAGGCCAAGATACTTAATATTACCATTTATTTGAGAAATAACTGTACTTAGAGTGGCTTTTTCAATTATTGTGAACACAGACGCTCAGAGCAGTCGACCAGTTTGACTCACTACACTCTTTGGCAAAGTTTGGGCCGAGCAAAATGGATGGAGCGCATGAGTTCTTCAGAAAACAAAGTTCTTATTGGACACTCGTTTTCCCTACGTCATCATGCAGCGTGTGACGTAGGATAATGCCAGAGATTTGGTCGGAAAGCCACAAGTCTCTAGCCAGGCCGCTCAATTTCATTTCTCTCCTGTGACTAGGTCAGGAATCGGAATACACTAGACGGTTTGTAAGAACCCCGGAAGTTGTAGACCGCGCACCGGCCAATCAGAAGAGCTGTGAAGCCATGACGTCAAACTCAATCGTTTGTCTGGGTCCCTTTTGTGGAACAGCACAACAGTAAACAAAGCGGTCGAGATGGAGGTAGACAAAGACAGACATTCTGTGTTGGCAACGATTCCCGAGATCGAGGATTTAAAGCTTGAATAAAGAGACTGTTTGGTGAATATTATTAAGGGGAAAGACGTTATTTCCGTTCTTCCTATGGGATTTGGTGCATTACATAAGTTACGACCAAATAACAGCGATTGGTTAAATAAAAAAATACCCGCCTACCGTCAAGTGAACGAATCCTAATGCTGCGAGGTCAGACGGTTTCCACAAAGTGAAACCGTCTCAAGTCTCAGCCTTTCCAGGAAAAAAGTTTATATCTTTTATGATTGGAAAATTATGTCCAGTTATATAAAACATATTCCCAGGTATTGTACATGTTACCGTCGGTCTGGAAGGGTTTTAACTCAAAACATGCTCTACAGGCCAACTCCTGCTGATGTAGTCCTGACCTAGACTAGACGAGTCCCGGGGCGTGCACAGCTCCTGACAGGATCCAGAGGACAGGGCTTGCCTTACAATGAAGACAATTAAGTATGTGCCTTGCGAACAGCCTTACACTTCTCCTTGTAACTTTTCCATGACCTTGGAAGAGCCCCCCCCCCATCACTCTAATGGGCTTTAATTGAGGACGTGTCATTCCCAGAGCCACTTGGTTCAACAATAACAAAATCATTTGTAATTATAACAGCTCTGGTTTCTGCCGTGCCTGTTGTGTTACCTCTCTCCCCTCACACTTCTTTATTCTTGTTCCTCTTCCCATCAGCACTTCAGTGTAATCTCATCACCGCCAGCTCCACCCCCCCCCCCCCCCCATCCCCGTATCCATGGCAACACATCCGCCGGCCCCCCAGCTCCCGGAGGTGGGTACGAGTGGTTGAAACCCGATACCCCCACAGTGGCACCAAATCAGATAAGGCCGCTCATATTACATATCACACAATTAAAATGGATACGCAGACTGCCCCGCCAAGGAGGCAACCGGAGGAGCCATGAAACGCAGTATTTGCCCATTAGACATTATTCTATTATGGAGGATTTGAAATGCATTGTTAATCTTACACATTTTTCATAAAGGATGTCAAATAAGCACTGCAAAAGTATTGTCATCTCACAGCTAATACGGTGCTCAACAATATTCCAAGTATTCCAAATATTACTTTTTTTTACTCTTTTTTTCACCATTTGAGGCAACAAATTACATTTTTTGTCCTTTAGTATTTATTATGAGTATGTTATTTCGGGTTTCATGTATATTTCAGGTTATTATTCCTGTTATAATATGACATATGTGTTTGATGCCATTATTAGAGAGTCATATGATCTTGTATCTCGTGCGTTTTTTTATTATTTTAATTTTCAATATTTCTGTTATTATCTGTTATTTTTCTGTGTTGTGTCAAGTAGGGATGGTCCAATATGGATTTTTTTTTTTTTAAGACGATACCTATATCTGATATTTGACCTGCAAGTGGGGCCGATAACCAAAATTTAGCCCACAAATTTATCAATGATTCATTTTCTTCATATTCTATCATTATTTTTAAGAAAAATATTTTATTGTGTATATTTATCTTCGTTTCAAGGCATATGGAATTAAAAAGTATACTGTAAAATACCATATAATAGCCGGGGCGTTTATTTGTTTCAATCACTTAACAGACCAGGCTTTTATTTGAGACCAGGCAGCAATTTGGGGCATGCGATTAATTCAGTCAAGGTGTGCAAAAATATCAAAATATCGACATATCGTATTGTTTAATGTAATGATACAGTATCGATATATCGCCAAGAGTATATTTTGGTGTATTTTACTAAATTATTTTGTTACAGCGCTACAGTTTTGTTGCTTGTTTAGTGGAAGAAACCTTTATGCGACACATTTGACATTTTCACTGTTTTGATGATTAAAATATTTGTGTTTCATATGAACTTTGCACAAGAAGTGGTTTAGTATCACAACCATGATTTAGTCATTATTTTTTTATTGAACAGTATTGAATCGATTTGAAATATATCATATCGAATCAAAAGTGCACTGTATCGAGGAATGTATATCATATCGGCAACTTATTAATGATACCTAGCCCTAGTACTCAAATTCTTCTAACCAGTATGACAATAATTTACAGTTTTTACGCTATACTTTGAATTGCCAAACTGAAGTAATATCACCAAAACTCCTAAAAATGCTTCAATTTCCTGTCTCGCTATGTTGTGCCATCTTTCTTTTTTTATGTCACTTTGAAATACGTATTTCACAGCAACGTCATCTGTTCCTCTAGCCTGATTCATTAGACGGTTTCACTTCGTACAAACCGTCTGACCTCACAGCGTCGGAATTCGTTCGCTCGACGGTAGGCGGGTACTTTTCCATTTAACCAATCGCTGCTATTTGGTCATGACATATGTAATGCACCACTAACGGGGCTAACTGGTATATTAAACTTTTCTCAAATCCCGTAGGAAGAAGGGCAATAATGTCTTTCCCCTTGATAAAATTCACCAAACATTCTCTCTGTTCCGGCTTTAAATTCGTTGACAACACTGAATATATTACTCTTCGCTGATTGGCTGGTGCACAAACTCACACTTCCGGGGTTTTTGCGAACCGTCTACTGTATTCCGATTCCTGACCTAGTCGCTGGAAAGAAATGAAATTGAGCGGAGGCACTAGGTGGTGCCAGCCTGACTACTGTTAATATACTTTTTCGGTGAAGGTGATGAGGCTGATCGGACATATCGCAGAGAATAAAGCCTATCCATTCCAAGTCACAACAATTTCGTAAAGGCAGGAGTGAACTGATGTTAAATTGCTGCTATGTTGGCTGTAAACATCACACTCTTTATGGTGTTGCTGCACTAATCATGATATCTTGGTTAAATAAAACAGAGAAATCGAGAAATGGGAGTTTGAGAAGCTCCTCGGCAGCAGCTGGGGGCGTCCGCATTGGTGACTTTCTTTACACACTCGGTGCTTATTTAAAACCGACGGTTATTTAACAAAACATACACCTGCACCCGGCATTTAAAGGAGACTCAGCGGTTATTATTTGGTATTTTACAGTATTTTTTTTCTTGTCTGAACTTTTGAACCCTGGTTTACACAGATTGATGTTAATATGGTAAGAAAAGTCCAAGTGAAACTATCAAAAACACGCTGTTACTTATTGAAAATCTTAATATTGCATGTGTTCATTATTTGTTCTAGTTCTTTTATACGTGCCATTTCTTCTTTCTTTCATCCGTAACCTTGAGCGTGTTACTTTAAACTGCACTAAACCCATTAGGAGACGTGACACGCGGCCTGTCTGCGGGCTATCAATAGAGCGGTTAGCGCAGTTCCTTTATCGCTGCGGCGTATGGCTGATTTCTCAACATGGCCTCACTGTAAGGACACCTGATAG